ATGCTGTTTTTTCAATAAAAAGGAGTGCCAAGTTGGATGTATAGACTGTAGTATCTAGTAACAGAACTTTATTTTTTTATTTTTTTAAACAGATTGTCCGTTTACTATGATTAATTGCTAATATGTTGAAAAAATAATAGAAAAATAATAGTGAAGGACATTCTTTTGGGCATGCTAGGGCCGATTTCGTCGATGTCCTTTATTGGCTAACTCCCCTCCCACGTTTATAAAATAATTATTGAAATTATTAACGGCATCTTTAGGGCAGGAAAACAAAGACAATAACTCATTGCTAGAACCATTATATTTATTAGTATATGTAATCTCTCTTATAGCTTCCCACATTTTTCTGCTATTATTACCCGCATTGTTAATTTTTTCTCTTTCATAGGATCTTTTAACATTTTTCAAAATTTTATTGCAGTAGTTTCTGTATCTAACATACGTTATCCTTAAAATTTCATTATCTGGCACACTTTTAAATTTTTTGTGTAAGCGATCTCGATTTCGTATACATCGTAACAAGCCAGGCGTTATCCACGGTTTCAATATACGTCTACGCTTAGGAAGGGTCACTTTTACAGAGTTAACAGTGATTGCAGATTCGAGACAGTGTATTAGAACAGACATAGCCACATTGGGATCAGTTTCACTATATATGTGACTAAAATCTAATTTGGATATATATTCTTTAAGGTTATCATAGTTTATTTTAATAAATGAAACAGCTGCCTTTGTATAATTACTTTTACCTTCTAAACACATTAAGACTGTTTTATGATCCGTAAGAGTGGTGTTTGCAACTAATGTCATAACACGCTCCTTAGATTTTAACATTGCGTGATCCAAACATGTTCCACTACTATCCCTAGTGACAAACGAATGAGTTGGAACTAGACCATGAAACGCGGTTAAGGTTAAGTAACGTTCAGAGACAGTGTCAAGTTTTTCATCATTAATCGCAATGTTAATGTCCCCAACAATAGCTACACATTTGTAATTCACTAGGTCTCCCAAAATAGTATTAAGTGACGTAAGGAACGGATCTATTGTTTTATAACTTGGTGAACGATAAATACATACTATAGCCCATTCCTGACATTTTTTTATGATAAGGCAGTTACCTTCTTGCAATTTTGGTTCCTCGATACTATAGTTCAAACCATTTCTGGCATAAACTACTACACCGTCATTTTGGATCTTGTTATTTTTAGTAGCGAAGGAGGCGTAATCATCTATTGAGGGAATTATAGGATTCGCTAGAAGCCAGCATTCGGTTAATATCATAAAATCCCAGGCAATATTTAAGTTAGCCAAAAGCACCTCGAAACCAGGCATATTGCAGTTTATGCTTCGTATATTTTTCGTCAAAACAGTTAAATTAGCCTGCAATGGCAAAACACGAGAAGAGACCATAGCTGGCTCACACTGAAGTGAAATTGATCGTGAGATCGAGTCTAAATCATTGAGAAAATTTTGATCCATTAATTATAATTGATAGTGATATATAGAAATCCAGTATGTGAGTTTTAGTGGGTGTGTGTTTAGTTAGTGTGCATGGTTTAGCTACAAAGTATGAAAAGTGTGTTTTATTTGTGTGGTGTGTTTGTGTGTAGAAATACTCGTAATTGTAATAGATGCTCGCATTAACAAAATAAAGATTTAAATTTAGATTTACATGCAAAAATATAACATTTAAAATTAAAATAACAACAGTAAAAGGAACTTGAATTACATCTAGTCATTCACTCTTGCGCAATATTTCAATATCTTCCGGACAGGAAATTTTCACTTGCGGTGAATTTTCTTCCTTACGCAAATAAACAACACCATGAGCTGTCCAGCAGAAAGAGTAGTTATGACTTTTCTGAAAAATTCTGCTTAAATAAAACAATTTTTGTGTATTACTCGTTAAAGTTTCAAAAATAAAAACCGGTTTTTGTTGTTGTTTTAGTTGCAAATGAGACGTGTTTAATTTTTCTCCTTTAACTTTACTCTTATTAAACAATTTCACACCTTTTAGTATTTTGTCTCTCAATAGGACAGAAGTGAATTCCACGGAGTTGACTTATCTTTTGACCCAACCCTATAAATATCCTTGATGGATGTTTCATTTATGTCAATGTTTAAATTTTTACCCAAGTTAAAAGCAATTTTACATAAGTCGTTCTTTGTTTCTCCAGATTCTCTGTCAATATTACGAATTTCAATACCCGAAATACGAATTTTCCTTTCTAAAGCTTCTACTTTGTCCTCAAGAACCCGTATCTGCTTTCTGTCGTGATTTTTTTCTTCTTCCAGCTGCTTCAAACGGGTTAACATTTCGTCGTATTTGCTTGATATTAATTATTTGTTTTATACTGACTAAATGGGTATTTCACTACTACACTAGGTACATGGTTTACAATGTTAGCAGTTTGGTTTTTTGTTTTAAACTTAAACTAATGGGATTCATTTCTAGAGCAAAAAAGTTTATTTTTAATAGTTTATATTAAGACTTCTTTGCTCCATAAGTTCAATTGACAGTAACTTGCTGATTTACGTACCATATCTATGTCTGGATTGGAAATGTATTTCCAGTATTGCCTATATCTGTTTATATGCGTAAAAGATAGTCGATAAAAGCAGTATTGTAGTCAATTAGATAATCTGTTTTCAGGAGGAGTATATGGTTGATGGAGGACGTGTAATGATACCAGGACATTTTGCACTTGGAAACACCAGACTGGGTGTTGGACCGTAAAATGTCAACATATCAATATCACCTCAGCTGAAATAAGAACTTATAGAATTGACAATGAGCCAGGAAATTTCAGATGTTGTTATTATAAGTATTTTATTTATTTACGTCATACTTTTATTAAAATTATATGTAATGTGGCCCTTTGTCACCGTAATATTCCCCAAAGAATAATATATTATTATAGATAACTATAATATAACCTTCATTGTAATTTACAAAAAACAAAACATCAATCATCAGTTTCAAAAAGAGACAATCATTGTACGTGATACGTTATACTACCAGACTGCTTCCGGTTATGATAGCATCAGTGATGATAATCTTTGATAACACTGATGAGTAATTAATTGTATAGAGAATAGCAGATTTTATTGAATGTGCTTTACAGCAGCTTGTGATGGAGGAGGTGTGAACTTTCCCAGCTCCGTTTTCATATTATTTATCCTGAAATTACCATACGAGAACTCGCAGCAAAAATTTCATGAGTTAGGTGTGTAAGAGATGAGTTCCTATGAAAGTTAAATGCTTTTGATGGGTTTTGTGTAAATGAATGGAAATTACACGAATACAAAAACATGCTTTTTATTTTTTTATCAAATACTATTGTATATAATACTAAATACTATATACAGATGTATTGAAAATACAGAGTGCGAAAACTTCTTTATTAAATGAACTACGAAGGCAAAGACAAAACTACACTTAGTACAGTTTTACTGAGATATTTGATGATTACCAAACATCAATCATCATTAAAAAAGTCAATACTAAAAATACAAATAAATAAAATATTATTTCTCATTGCCACTCGAAAAAGGGATTTCATTCAGCGATAACAGTGAACAAATCTTTCATTTAATTACTGAGTAAATAAAAAAAATTTGAACAAACAGAAGTTATGCAAATCATACATATAAAGTTACAATAATTAGTAATAATCATAATTAATCTTTATTGTCATTTCCAAAATGCAACCAATGGGTACTATAAATATATTATTTATTTTCTCACAATAGTAAAAAAACTTAATCCTTGTATCCTTTGCTCCACTCAGGATTCCTATCTAGAATCGTTCGTTGCCACAGTAGGGATTCCACCTTAGCACTTCAAATTAACTATATTTTATATTTGCATTTATTGTATAATCAATAATTGCATATTAAAGTATCAATTTGGTAAAGCGCGCTATACTGAACTTCGCCGCGTCGAGGTCTCGCTCGTGCGACTCGGACACGCTCGCGGTCATAATGCGGTTGAATTTCGGGGTAGTTTGGGAGGGAGGGGGAGGGGGGGCTTTCTGGCGCTTCGCTGGCAGCTGCCGCGGCACGCTCGCTTCGCTCGCTCGGCTCGCGCATTATGGTCACAACACTAACCTAACCTAGTGTGAAGTATCACCGCTAAGTATGACGCCATGGTAGTCGGACGATGTCGGAAACATCAACAGGAGTACGAAAACGCTCTCAACTGCGACTAACACATAGACTGCCTGACGGATCTCAAAACACAAAATTGCGGTATATCTGTCAATTTGACAATAGTACCAACATAATAAACATATTTTTACCACAGACAACGAGAAATATGTTATTTTTGCATGAAAAAATGGCAGCACTGATCGAAATGGCTGTCAAAATTGCCTTTTCACCTTCAAAAATATTAATTTTCTATATTTTTTTTCTCCAGTTCTATTCGTTTCCGCCAAAAAAAAGATTTCGTGTACGTGTTTCTAATAATTAATACTTTGCGTGACAAAAATTTCAGATCGCTCCTCAACTACTGCTAATGGAAAGCTGAGCCAATATTTATACATTGCTAGGGCAGTCGCTCATACAAAATTTTATCATGTCCTTTCGAACGTGCTTTCAAATAGAGAGCAGTTTTAAAAAAATAACACTTTAACAAGAGAAAAAACTATTGTTGTTCGTTCGTCGTCATTGATTTTGAACAGTGATAATTTCCGCGCATTATTTGAGAAAAGTACTATTCAAGCCTTGACCACAACTAGACATTGATGTACTTACGTTTACCCGTTCGTCCACCAACGCCTCTTTTGCTGTAGTAGTAGTACAATGTACTATAGTGTCAGTTGCAACACAGAGCTAGTCAAAGTTAATTTTTACTATAACTTTAACTGGCCTCGTTTGGACAGTTAAATATCACTGTCAAATCATGACCTCATTTTCACTATTGTCAAATAGTGCTACCCATTTTTTGTCGAACCGGTAATTTAACTGAACGGGCATCTGTTCCCCGCTAGGTCGCTCAATCAGCCACGGAGCTCTGCTACCGTTCGCTCCACAATGTAGTCCGTCGAGCTCACCACGAGAGGGCGCTGCATTCCCGCCTGCTGGACAAGCAGCGCCGCGTGCGCAGCATAGTGCACCAGATGCGGCTGCGAGGCGAGCCCGCGCAGAACATTGTAGACGTGAGCATATCGTGTCACTATATAATTATGTATATATATATATATAAAGCGCCCCATATATATATAGCGCCCCATATAACGTAGTCCATCGAGCTCACCACGAGAGGGCGCAGCATTCCCGCCTGCTGGACAAGCAGCGCCGCGTGCGCAGCATAGTGCACCAGATGCGGCTGCGAGACGAGCCCGCGCAGAACATTGTAGACGTGAGCATATTGTGACCCGACAAGCATGAAAATTGGAGGGTAACTCGACGAAAGCTGAAACGCTACGAGCGTCACACTCTGCTATATACATACGTATATATATACTGTCGTCCTCAAGCTAAAACGCGGCTAAATGATCAAACCAACTTTTGAGATATGGCCAAAAAACGGCGCGTAAACTTTAAATTATTGCTATTTTGGAACCATTCATAACATGACGAATTTTTAGGCCCGTATTACAGACGAACATCTAAGTGTTGATCTTTACTAGAGTACAGTTAGAAAGGGATGTCGCTATGTGCTATATATAACGACATCCCTTTCTAACTATTCTGAAGACTAGAACAATCACTGATAATAATACGGGCCTTAGACTTAAACTATTAAATATACGAATACTTGTTAAAGACAGATCGATAGAGAATTAAAAACTGTATAAGATGCAATTTGAAACTGAAAAATCGACCACATGCCACTTAGCCGTGCTTACGTTTGAGGACGGCAGTATATAAGTGATGCGTGCGTTGCTCCATTCTCCTATGCCTTGTGCACCGCCTAATGCTCCACTCCACTGAAGTTCCACTTCAGGTGTGTGGTCATCACATTTTTTTTGATGTGTAACATCTTTCCTCTCGCTTTCCTGCAATTTGTGGGAGTGATTACGTGAAGTGGGACGGAAGTGTGTAACAGGAAGTTTGGGAAGCGCGCGCTATTTGATTTGATTTTAGAACATAATGTTCAAATGGCTTATTCCTTTTGTAGTAGATTTTATTTCTTTTTTTACTAATATAAACAAGGTGAGGTGAGGTGAGGTTTCAAATGTTACACATCATACGCGACTACTGTAAGACTCGCTCGTTTTTTTATTTAACTTACAATGTTTGTATGTTTTTCCGTGTCTAATCTTAAATAGAAAGGTTTAGCTTTTAATAATAAATTACCTCATCGATTTCAGGTAGAAGAAACCTTGACCCCACCAGAGCTAGCGGTTCTTCAGAGCATCGAGAAACGACTCAAACAGCTGAACACTGCAGAACTGGAGTTGGACAAAACATTATTCATACTGAAATGGTACTTTATGTATCCCCAGTGAATATACATAATATATAAACTGTTGTTATTTGTTAATTTTGTATGTATTAATAAACTACTGATACATTTGTGTTTACTTACGTTTTATAATAGCATTTTTATTTTATAATATTCATTCTTCTATTCAATGAACCGGAGGAAAATAAGTTTTACGAGAGGATTTTTATATTTCCCCGTCTGAGGAAGTAATCTTCACTTTACAACACAGTAAAATAACAAATACCTTTTGGGGGTGTTGTGTTTATGTCGGTGATTAGGTTCCAGAGTTCCACGGGGTAGGGGATTGGGTCAGGGTAGGCGCAATGGTGCCAGTGATATTTTTGGCATCGCAAGCGTCTATAGGCTATGGTGGCCGCTTACCATCAGGCGGGCCCATACGCTTGTTTGCTATACATTTTTTTATGTTAAGTGTAGAAAGGTCGGTGGGGAAGATCTTCCTCCGAGCTGGATGATGGTAGCTCGGGGGCCGCGGCCCGACTTATATTGGTTGGGCATTGTATATATGGAGTGTTAGCCTCCGAATTTCTCTTGCGCGATGTAGGCTTCCATACGTTATGTTATACGCAGCGTCGGTAGCGCCATCTCTTGAGGAGGCGAGTGACTATTTCCTCCGTGTTGATTTTATGTGGGGCATGTAGATGTCGCCGCCACATTAAGCATAAACAATCCACCTTGCAAACAACGTAATAACTTAAATGAAAGTCAAACAAATTATGTTCTTAAATTTTTATTTGACCCCATTGAAACTCAATAGTCATTCAAACAATGTACATACAACGTAATAGTTTCGATCGATACTGTCATGATTAAAAGTATTATAAAATATACCTATATCCCAACTATCTACATCAGCAGTCCATAAACATAGATGAAATAAATAAATAAATGCGGTTGTGTGAAATTACAATGCTTCTCTAAGATTCGAATAGCTGTCAGTATATTTATAATGCCTTTCACGTAAGTAGTGGTAGTCTTCTAAAGATGGCGGATGGAGGATGTTTGGAAAAAATCTCGGGTGCCTACCACTTTAAACAACTTGAGGCATGATTTTATTTATTTTTTAAGCATTTAACTGCTAGATGTTTAAATCTAAAGAAAAGTTTACTAGAAAAAAATCCACGCGGACCAGGCAGCGGACGGGACTCGAACCCGCATCCTTCGCTATCCGGGCGAATGCACTGACCATTATGCTACCACGGCCCTATTAGCCGCGTCGAAATTTTCCTAGCTTTACGCTGCATCAACTTGAGGCATTTTAAACATTTCAACCATACAGAAAGCAATCATCTTTATTAAAAAAAAAAGTTTCTCAACGTCCGAACCTTGACGACACTGACAAATTATAAATATCCACAAACTGAATTTATTTATTTCTCAGAGAAGAACATTACAGTGTTATATTGATTATCAAATAGTGTTGAAAAAACCATACTTAATATAAACGGGGTGGTATAATTATGTTTAAATTTAACCTTTAATTTAAATTTAAACATAATTATACCACCCCGTTTTGCACCTTTCGTTTATAAATTTTAATAATAAGATGGACAATATTTGATAACTATTCGAATCTGTCATGATAAATTTATTTTACTCATAATAAATTTTCTAAACTACTATATTATAATTTGAATTAAGGTTCTGCTGTGTGATCGAATTTCTTCTTAATTGAACATATTAACTAAATCATATTAAAGTGTTATAACACAATGAAAGTCGCCTAGCTGTCCAGTGAGCCGAGTGCAAGTCTGTGTTGAATTACGTTTAGGTATTTTTTACCAGCATATTGTTCCTTTGATTGGAAAGGCATAAGGATTTTATTAGTCTTGACAGGCGATTTACAGTTCTCGAGATTTTGAACAGTTATAAAGATGCAAATATCGAGTGCTCTATCCCCTTAGACATAGAGTGCAATATGCCAAAGAAACACCGTTTTGACGATATTGTATTGCTATACTCCATCAGTATACAGAATATTGTTTTAAATATAAGTACTTACTAATTAATCACCATTCATGGGGAAGGTGTGTGCATTAGGAACATTTATAGGCTGATGATAATGACATCTCTTGAATCTTGCCTAAGAGTGACGCAAATATTGAAAATCCTCCATATTCTGCTGCATAAGTACGCGTTTATTCCGCTAGATGGCGCTAATTAAACTTTCTATTGAGACTGGCACTCGGCACTGCGAGCCAATTGGGACCAAACCAAATGTCAACTAATCAACATTGTTATAATTATCAATTAATATTAACAAGTTATATAGTTTATGTCTATGTATGTACGTAAGTAGTAAACACCTGTTATACAGTGACACCTAATAATTTCATTAATTTAACTTTTATTTTTTACACACAACGCAACGACCGTTGCTTGTATTTGTAATGAAGCATTCCTGTGTTAATTAGAATTTTTAAAGAAAAACATAAATATCCAATGAATGAGCAATAAATATACAAAAAAAAACTAATTTCTCTCACCCATTATTCATGCTAAGTAAAAAAATGTTAATATACTTATAATCAAACTGGGAGGCAGCAATTATGTTTGTGGTCGATATGATTAAAAAAAACGTCGACGAAAAAGCTCATCGTTATTATCAATATAGCATGTTGTATTCTCCAGTTTGGAAAGTATGTTAGTGAATAATGTTCAACTCTTTTCACTATTGCCAATCATTTTCATATCGCGACTATACTTAATTCCACTCGGGTTGAAACTAATCAAGCATAATTGATATATCTTAAAGATTTTTAACAGTAATAAATAATGCAACGGTCGTAGAATCCACTCCAAGCTATTATTAGGACTATTTTTTATTTATTTTGTCTAAATTAAAAAGTATTCGAGTATGTACAGTACACAACGAATCTCGTTAGTGTTCACGCATCCTCGTCCGTTTTGTAGCGAACACTGTCTTGCGCGTAAAATGCTATTTTTGATAAAATTTATTAACATGTTCTTAACATTTTTTTTTGTTTAAATTATTTAACAAAACACGCACAAACTTTCTTAACAGGCAGCTGTGAATGCATTAAGTGACAGTGAAGAGAACATTTGGTTAACGTGATGAATTAATTACATTTTTTCAAATAATTCAACTACAGGTTGAAAAAAGAAACCAATTTTTTGTTTATCCATTGTGAAATGAAGCGTACCAACTTTGATATTTGCCACAGACAAATAAATTTGCGCAGTAGACGGTTTAGTATGAAAAAATTATACTGCGCAGGCTTTCTTATTTAAGGTCGTTGCTCAAGACATTTGCCGGGGTGCATACCAATATAAACGAAACACTTCCTGCTAAAAACAGAGTTAGCTACCAACAGACCCATCAAGCACGCAGAATAAACACTCGATAATCTGGTTCGATAAATTCAAAGAGTCACTATTCTATTTGAAATATTAAAATACAGTTAAAACATCGATCTAAGTGGCCTAAGTCACGTCTCACCTTAAACGTACTCAAATATTCGACACCTACCGATACTCAGACTATACAATACTTGAGAAGTTTTACAAAAGCCGCTATTTTATTTATCGATTAAACTTTCATAATATTTATGTATTAAGAATAGAAATTATTTCCCCAAGCGACATCGTTATTTTTATTATTTACAATTTGCGCCTTCGAAACGTTTTACAAACTACACTGATTATCAGAAACTGCAACGGAAAAAGTCTAGCGTCATACATAATGTACAATCAATGTATTATGCCGGCACTTACTTGGCTATTCGTGTTTGCTATTTGTAAACATGAGTCTGTCCTATAACATGCTTTATAAGGAATGAAAGGGACAGACTGTTGTCATGTTTACAAATAGCAAACACAAATAGCCAAGTGAAGTGTCGGCATTTTAGAGTGAAGATTGCCAATTCTTCTTCTCGCTTATTTAAATATTCGTTCCACCCATGTTAAAGTCATCACCCAATCAAATAAAATTTAACCGCCTTATTCACAAACTTTTTTGTGCAATAACTTTTTTTTATTTTCGACCAAAAAAATTAACGCTTTCAAAATGTAGTTGTCAGATATCAAAGCATTTTTCTGGAATCTGCGGACTACATTCGAATTTGGAAATACTCGACTATACTAAAATTCAGATTTGGAAACTTATCAAATTAGTATTTAGTCGACTTTCTGATTTTGATATTATATTTAAAGACAAGGACAGAATATGAAATTTCCACTCGGTCACCAACATCGATCGTTTGTTAATCAGGCGGCAGGAAAGGAAAGCAAGCGAACCAAAATGAAACATAAAAATAAATTTGTAATTACTTTATTTATAAACTAGTTATTTTACACAACTTAACAAAAATACTACATACAGCAACTGAACAGAGCAACCAAAAAATTTTAAACCATTCATACCACGGCATCGACACTTCGCTTTCGAGACACTGAGACATTAATATTGAATGCACTATCCATATATATGTATTTAATACACAGACATAGAAAATGTATGTCCTGAGTGTTTCCCAGTCAGCTGTAAGTATGAGAGAGAGGGAGCGATCAGGCAGCCAGCAGTTCACATACTAATTGGCCGCACGATCACTTTTTCTCTGTCTAGACAGTAGCCAATTTCATTAGAGTATTACTCCGTCCATACTCTATGTCTATGTCTTATATCAACAAACTAGGGTTGCCAACCTAAATTTGCATTTAAAAAGACATGGTAAAATTTTGTATGAGCGACTGCCCTAGCAATGTATAAATATTTTACTTAGTAATAGTGAATGCTGAATGACTGAAAAATTATAATTTCTATGAAAACAGGCTCAGGAACTATAGATACAGTTACAAGTTAAAAAAACTGATATTTTTAAATTGAATGCTGTGTACACTCGTAAGTGGCAAACATATAATAAGTGTATTTATGTTATTAATAATTTTGTAATGTATGATATGTATTGATGTATGTGTGTCTAATCAAATAATTAAAAAAATAAAAATAAATCGCAAGGGATACGGTGCAATATTTATGTAAAA